TCGTTCTCCGCTCCGTCACCAGATATCGTTACCACAAACGGGTGCATTCCAGTAGACTCTACTAAAAATTGTCAAGGGATAAACATTATCGCTTCGAGGAGACGGAGATTGTTCGTAATAGGAACTAGTAACATCAGTTTCTAGCAATGTACCATGTTAGGATAACCTCTACGCGGTTCCTACTGGAAACCTCCTAGTGAATTTGCCAAGATGGGTTAACTGACTTAATTTCTTATTTATCTTACCATCCTCCACACCAGCGAAAACCGCAGAAGGGTGCACCATTTCATTATCATTAATAAAAAACAGTATTACGTCTAGAAAGACCAGGAAAAGGCAAAACCAGAATTATCAGCAATTGTTACCAAAGAAAGTATTTTTAAATTTAGAATGTTAGTCAACTACCAGATCCAAGGTACTCAATTTTCTTAGGTCAGATGATCTTTACTTACAGTTGCATGTTTATATACTTACAATATTTGGTTATGATGGTCCACCCAATTCCGGGATTGTCGGTATCGTATTTCTAGAACTCTTAAGTAGCCACAATAATCTTAGATCTTTGTTTTATAAACTTTAGATGTTAACTATTAGATTAATCAGACCTATCTTAGGTGATTCTTGTATCATCATATTCAATATAATTAATGTTATCAATTTTATTTCAGCTATCCATTATTACAAGTTGTTATAATACAGTTTAAGGAATCAAAATAAAACTGAATCCAAACATTTGACCAAGATATCGATTTAATTGAATAGTTCTTTTTATTTCATTATAACCATAATTAACAATATTGATAGAATTAAAATTTTATAAGTTTTGCCAAGTTTGTGTAATGAAATGCACGCCAAAATTTTCTTGTGTATTTGATAATATTTATTTGTAAATCCATCCATAACTATAGACAGTTCTTTATCATCAGTTTTATTGATGATAAAAAATTCATTTTATAGTTGGTATTTTCCTTCTTTCTTAGTAGCAGTTTTTATTTTATGCATTTACATATAAGATAGATTGTATTCAGATGAACAATCTCCCGTGACATGAACACAGTATTTCTTCTTTAAGAGGAAAATGTTCTAATACTAGTTTCTTGCCAATTTAATTTTAATTTATAACGCTGACAATGTTATCTGATGGAACAGAGTATAAGTGCATAATGGTTTCTGTGTTGATTATCGCATGCCTAATCTTTATTAATGTAAATGTACTTAAGACAACATTTATTTAAAAGAGCAACATACAAGTTTCTTTCTCATTCTTCTTGTGATGAGTCTGCATTCCGAATGAGTGGTAGAATAAAAAAAATGTGAATATTCAAAAGTGCTTCTATTAAGTTTGATTGAATAAAGATTATTTCTATTCTATTCTATTCTATTCTAAAGAATTTATCTATCTACATATCTATCAATTTCATTCATATATATCTTTATGGGTAGGGGATAATATTGAATAAAAGTGTGGTTGTTTTTTAGAAACTGATGATTTATTTTTACCATATAATAATATATATTCATATTGAAACAAATTACGATACAAAATGTACATGGTATTCCATAACTACAGTATTATTATTAATTACTTAACAATTTAAAAGACTACTTATTTGCAGTTAGAATAAGTATGTATCTTAAAATACAAATTCAATAATTTATACAACGAACGAGGATAGTAAAATAATAATGCGCTGGAACCCATTATCCTCGTATCAACTTATACATATACAAATTAAACCTCCTATACTATTGATGGACAAAAGATTTTTAATAAAATAATCCCTAACGAGGGTAACAATTTTTATTTCTTACAAGAGGACCGTGCCTTCACTTAAATCAAATCCTGATCTATATGTACAATATCATTGAACCAGTCAAGGAACGTTTCCTCGTGTGGTTTTGCGCCAAATTTTCGAGATTGTTTAGTGCTAAATCGAGATCCATCGGTAACGGCATCTAAGAGCTTCATAATTCTTTTTGGTATACATTGAATAAAACAAACTAATAAAAATCAGGTATCAATTATTCAAAGGCCACTTTGAAAACACTAGGTTCTTCTGTTCTGTTAAAACAACAAACATGTGGCAAGTGACAGATAACTTTTAAGAGACTAGACGAATCGGATCACACGGACGTGTGCTACGAAGGACTCCTAACATAACATTGTGGCCTTAACAAGTTTATTAACAAGATATTTACAAAGTCCAATGGAAAGTAATGGGAAAAGCATGGGGTAATGCGTGAGTGGTGTATCGTCAGTCGATGTTTGGTATACAGTTAAAGCCATGTATCAGCTTCGAAAGTAGGGGAAAATTTGGCATATATTACTTTATATATTTAATATAATACAAACTTGAAGCACACATAAATTTGAAGGTACACTTACGTGTGTACGTACAATTACCTTAACATTACTCGATAAAATTTAATGGACCATTTTTTTTTTTCAATAACTCTTGTTCCTAAACAATTTGTTCAATCAACGAATTTATTTACAATAAAAAAATTGGTATAACTTCAAAAATTCAAACTTCAACAACTTCCGGCAATGTTTCATGCGAACAAACCAATGGCTGAACGTCTGACCATTCACTAGACCTACATTAAAACATCGAATATTAATGAATGGTAAAACGTCCCAATGGTACAGTAATGGCAGATGATAGAACACAATTTTATGATTTACAATTTTTATGTTACAAACACACATGTTTTTTTTTGAGAAATTCCTTATTCAGAACAGAACTAAATCATGGAACGTAATTATATCCGCTATCACGCCTATAACACATTCATCTTTTGCTTAATTAATATCATTAATACCTATTATTGTTATTCCTATATTAGTTCCTTGATTCAGATTGTGCGAAGTTTTCGTTTGTTTAATCATTATCATTAAATTTATCAATATCAAATATCATTAAAGACCCAACTACTAGTACATCAACAACAAAATTTATTACTTTATAATTATATGAATCCACTACAGCTTGATGGTCATATGCAATACATGGGTTATCTTTATGGTTTAGCTTTATCATTTAGGTATAGACACCAATTAGATATCAGTTAAATATAACTACAGGTTACTACATGTTACATGAAATGTGCTCGAGAATTAAAAGGAAGTTTCGTTGTGTCTCAAAGTGAGAATGAAGGAGAACTGAAATCTTATATATTAGAAGATACTTATCAATTAAATTAACAATGGTGATAGATACATATAATACACAGACATATATATATTACGATCAATTTTTAAACATAACGAGAATATTATCAACTTTTCAGTTCTGTGAATATATCACTAACATATTAAATTGAATCGCATTTATATCTCTAACTTTACAAATGTATAATTTTATATTACAAGTAATATATATATATATTTATATTATATAATGACGATGCATTTATTTCTTATGATGACTCTTTTTGGATGATTTTCTACTTGGATGAGAAGCGATTCAATAAGCTTATGTAATGCAATATAAATATAGAATATAACATATTTATTTTTATAATATATACATATATATATATATATATACGTATTATGTTACAAGCTACAACAACTAACTGCGTCTTCTATGATAATTTGAGACGCATATAATATACCCTCTAATGATTCTCACAGTATCGCTTTATTTTGACTTTTTTTTTAATATAAACAGTATTATACTTATTTACATTCGTTATTTTAAATTTTAAACATACCTTCAAGTAATTGAAACAATTTAAAGGCTACGAAGGAAGAAAGCCTGTGACTATACGCAAAGGATCAAGTAATTAGGGGACAAGGAAGGCATTCTGTAACATTTTTATTGGGACTTTTTACATCTAAATTTTAAATGAAAACATTAAACCCTGATGATTCCAAACGTTGAAATACCACAACAAGAAGCGCTAATTACAACATTATAAATTCGATGTTGCCTTTATAAATACATTTAGGGGTTATAACACACTCCCCACTAATAAAAATTACTCTGTCGTAACAATTTCTACACGAGTTGGCGTAATTTTTTTGAACAATTACCATATAAATATATAAATTGCAAATACTTATGTTGGTTCAGCAGAACGTACAACCATTACTCTAAATGTAATAACATCTCTTTTATACAAAAAAAACGGCATATAATTGTGGCAAAAGTATAAATTTTATTAGCAGAGGAGATATTTAAACTACTTTGAGCTTCGATTATTTATATTGCTTTATATGTCGTTGAATTGAAGTATCTTACAAGAATATTGAGATTAACATATACAATGTAACGAAAGCAAACAAGATAAGTGGAGGAACATAATATTCCCTGAAATATATTCAAGAGAACTGCGATACAAAAGTTTCATAAGAACATTACCAACTCATAGAGTAGCAAAAAATTACGTTTTATTGTCAAAGTTCGAAAATATGGAGGGATATATTGCATAGCCAACGTACAAGATCTAATTGAATGAATTTCTATATATATCTACGGTCTGTTTTCATTGAAACATTTAATAAGCGAACGAAAGAAATAAAAATGCATATTCTGGCGTCGAAACATATCTTAGATGTACTTTACATTTCTCATCAACAGCATCTAATATCGACTACACGCTTAAAAGTATTTTGAGCATCACTAAAAATATATATAAGTATTATGAAATTTCATGTAGTTTATTAGGCACAAATTTATTTTTTTTTCCACTCAATATATATCGCTCTACTACACACAAGACAAATTACATATAAGGTCGCAATAATGTAGATAACACGTAGTTTATGCAATCATTATATTTTATAGACACTTACTAATTATTACACGAATTTTTTACATATATATTTATAAGAATATAATATAGGTAAAGCATTTTCTTTCCTTAATAATAGAGCACAACGGATCCCCTAATTTTAATTTAGGGACACAGAATATCTACAAATATGATTTCACAATCTGAAACAGTATATTTAAGGTTTCTTGAACTATCTTAATAATGAATGAGGTAACATTACCCCTAACTGACACATTTTCACTGAATTGACAGATTCTTTAGTATTTTTTAACAACATGTTAAACTTATGCGTTACTGTGGAAGTAATTGAATCTGCAATAGATAATTTTGAATCTTATATCGTTACAATTGAATCTACTGTTGCTTGTGAAACATTCGTTTTCCACAGTAACACAAAGTATCAAAAATACGTATTGATTTCCACAATATAATGGTAAGTATGCACAGTTATAAAAATTAAAAGATAGAGAGAAGCTAGCGTTGCTAAAACTAATCTACATACGCGATATCAGTCTCCACTAGAATCTTATAATTTAGAAAATCCATAAAGTAAAAATCACAGAGTTTGAATAGCAAAACATTTAAGTGAAACCGAACTTCTGCATGCCGATCCAAATATATTTCCCACCGTCCCGCAAAACTGTACTTTCCCATTATTGATATGTATCTTCTGTAGACCATTTGTATTGAAAATGTTAGCGTGAAGGCGTAAATAAAGTAAGAAGTAACAGTGTCCCATCACAACGATCCAAGTGCCATCATTACTATACAGATAATTTCGTACCTTACCATTGAAGAGATTAACCTTACCTACACATGCTAACGTATATTATATCAACTCGATACATCGAATCATAACGATGAACCCCTACCGTGACTAATAAATATTAATCTGAAACATGAAAAAGTCACGCATGCGAAGAATTCAGAAATGACATGAGGTTACACGCGTGACTTTCTCTCAAACTTTGGTAGTTCACAGAATAGGGGCCCACAATCCAATCGTGACGAACCTACTCGAAAATTCCGCACTCCGAAATTCTTGAAATGACATACCGATTAGCTTCCAACAATAAAATTAAATCGTGGACATATAAATCTACACGTGCACCAAAGTATAAAGTGGACTTACGTACACATTTAAACGCAAGACAAAAATGACTATATAACCTAATCTTATTTTTCTATTCCAATCTAAGCCATTTGAAAATAAAATGTAAGTGATTCTTAAATTACAAATGTTAATAAAGTAAAAAAGGTTTGACATAGAAATTGCGAACTTACTATTTTAAATGTACTAGAAGCCAAGTCGAGTAATGTACAATTAGAGAATACGGACGCGACAACGCGGTGCGATGCAGCGAGCGGGAGCCCCAGGATGCGTTGTACTAAAACGCTCGGGCCATACATACGAGCTTAAGGCTCACTTTAAAAAAATCGGTCCGAGAGAAGTCGTACAACGCCTACAGGAGCCTCTGACTGACCCGTGGCTTACTAATCAGGCGACGGAGTGTAGACGGATTATTTACTGAAATGCGTCTGAGACGTGCCGTTTGGAAATCACCCATACTGTAATAAGTAAATCAAACAAAAGCAACACGATAAAACGAGAACCAACTCACAGCCTATGTTAAACCCGATGCGTTTCCGAGTGTGACGTTGAAGCGTCGCCTATTACAACGGAATTCGATCTACGAAACTAATCAAGAAATTAATAGAACTGAAGGAGAATTCGACCGACCGGTCGATTGACATTAAAATTAAAATTTTCACCCTCGATCCTTATTAAATAACTTTGTACATTGAATCCAAAAATCGACACGTCATTTTGGATGTAGGCACTCTCTAGGCGGGCGGCGAGCGGTCGCCGCGTCGTCGGCCTCCGGTTGGCGGCTCTTTGGCCGACCGCATGAGATCAGTGGAAACGGCCGGCGGCGGCCCTAGCGGCCGGCACCGGCCTACGACGGCGTCAGGAACGACGAGAACGTGTTGTCGTCCCAGTCGCTCGCTACACCGATGTCGCTCAGCATTTCGGATACGTCTGGCGTGCAAGAGAACTCAAAGTGTGATCCTGACGATGACGACGCCGTTTCAAAGGACTCGATGTCGGTCAATGCTTCAAGATCGACTTCGCAGTCCGTTGGAAGCGGAAGCAAGTCCGTGATGGAGTACAGATCGGAGAGATCGGACGGATCTCGACGACTGCTGTCCTCGTAGATGCAGGCGGATTCTGGAGAATCGGGTGAGCCAGCTGGTGATGCCGGCAACGGCTGAGGTAATGGTATTTCCATTGGAACACTTGGAACGCTAGGTATGTTTGAAACGAGTCGCGTTCGTCGTCTTGAAACTCCTCTGTTGTTATTTGAGTCAGCCCTCTGCTTGCGTTTCTGTTTGGTGATAGCTCCGGAGCGCTGGGCTGGCTTTGCTGTTTTCTTGCGAGGTCTGTATTTGTAGTCAGGGTACTCTCGCATATGTAGCTGCCGCAACCTCTCTGCTTCATCAATAAAGGGCTGTCGCTCTTCATCGTTCAATGTTTTCCAAACGCGTCCCAAGTTCTTTGAGATTTCCGCGTTGTGCATATCAGGTGTCTGTTCGCATATTTTCCTGCGTTCGATCTGAGACCAGACCATAAACGCGTTCATAGGCCTTTTTATGTGGTTTGGATTGTTCTTCTTGGTCTGTGAACAAAAGATAAATATCCGGTTAGTTGAGGTCGACTTCTAAATTGACATCCTTATAGCTAAGTGAACACACAACTATAAAATAGATTTACGTTCGGAACAGAGAATCAGTGTTATCAGTATAATTGTGGAGACTACAATTATTATTTCAGGCATGTCCGATTCACTGGCTCTGGCAAAGAGCAGGCTATATTGAATTAGTATGCATGACATTGCACCATTAAGTCTGCGGCCTTACTATTAATGACATTGTTATCATCGGAATTATTATTACTACAAACAACTTGAATTATAATTATTCTAATAGTTCCATTACGGAAAATTTTACGTAACTGGCGTAGGTTGAATGCACGGCTCGTAATCTAAATCGAGTTCATTTGGTTAGCGTTACTCGTGGCCCAATTTTAATTCTATTTCAACTGATCTACTAAAGCCATAAAAAGCTCGAGTGTTCTCTCGAAGTGCAGTAAACACTTCCGCGTTTCCATCCAATGCTGAGAAACATTGCCTAATGATGTCTTTAAGGACAGTGGCAGTCATTATCGAAACGTGTAGGAAATACTAGGGCATTGACATCCCAATACAACAATCGTTTAACCTTCTTTTCCTTTATATCAAAAAGGAAAGCCATACAGGAATTAGATAAGAGTTTCTATATTCGACAAAATGGAAAGCATATTTTCGTGGTTTAGCCAGAGGGAAACTTTACGGCCCACTATCTGCGGAGCCGTTTTACGTAGAATCATAAAAACAACACCGCGCTGTAAGAACATAAGCGAATATTCTCCTTTATTATTCAAATCTTACTTTCGCTAAACTTTGCTCGGGCGGTCCCTGTGGAAGCGGCGAGGGAAAAAACCGCCTCGACTTTATATTTTTTGTTCGTCTTATTTATATTCAGGACAAAAAAAGGGTTTGTCAGATGGCAACTAAATCAAGTTCGGAACGCCCACTCGGAGTCTCAAGGTGAACTAAATAGAGGTAGGCAGTTTTTTGCACCGCCACGAAACATATCCAGGTTACCACTTATTATTATTAAGGTTTTTTGTTGGGCCAATTTGTTTTGGACTACAATCTAGACTGCAATGGCTGTGATGCGAGTAGATTAATCACGTGTTTGTATGCAGCTTTTTTATAGTGATGACTAACCGTTTATTGTTGCCATGTTGTATTTTATCGATAAAGTCACCTTTAAATGTTTTAAATTGGTTTAGATTATTTGATGATATCGAATTTGTAAAACTTTGTATATTATAATATGTAGGTAGTTGTTTGATATAAATGATATAAGTGTAAATATAGGTTCAATCGTTTTATATCGTATATAAAACAGACAATTCAAAAGCAACTAAGTAAACAAGAATTATTGTCTATTTATTCCTACGTACTAATATACAAAGCTTATAAATATTTGATTAAATGTTTATAGCATAATGAAGCTAACGTCATATTGTTTAGCATTGTAGCCTTATCCATTGATTTAAGCTGTATTAAAAATAATACATCAACATAACATAACATAAATGTAAAAAAATATGCAGGCTTTGAATCTTATTTGGTATAGATAGGCATATCTTATCATACACCAACAAATACAATACCGGGAGTATTCAACTCAACTGAAGTGAGAAACGTAATACATAATAAAGTACATTCAATTAGACTTTAAAAAAGAATGTTCGTATAAAACAGTAAGAGCACTGCAACTATAAAATGTCTCCTTAAAATACATCAGGATATTAAAACGAGAACTAATAACAATGTAGAAGATGTTAATAGAAATCTCTTGGACTCGACGGAAAGACTTAATAAAGCGCAAGATGTCGAAAAATTCCAATCTATATTCTCAAACGAAAATTGCTTCAATAATAAGGGTCGGGATTAATAAAAAGCAAGTTTCATATCTGCTATTGTAGCTCATTATTCGCAAACAAAAGGTGCTGGGACCTCATCTGGGCCCGCACTTGGCTTAATACAAAAGGCAGAGTAATCGTCTCTTTTGTTAGATGAAGTACTAAATGTTGGATATCGCCGTTTCCATTTGTGGGCCTCCTTCATTTTAACTTACTGAGATCGTTGCAGCTATCGTACAAGTTTTTGCGTCTTCAAAATTGTAAAGAAAATATCTTTTCTCTTATTTCAAGGAATGATTGTTGGATAAATCATTTATTTGCGTCTTCCGCATGTGAAGGACGCAGTAAAAGAGATATAGGTAACAACAACATATAACATGATTAAAGAAGTAATACGGAACAAATTATTGACAATGCCAGTAGTTTAGTTGAGTTGTAATGTAAGTAGACTCTTTAAAAGCATCTATATCACACTATTTGGTAAATCAGCTTGCCTCAACTCTGGAGATGGATCCTAAAGTCCTAAAAATCCAGACCCAATAGTATTATATAGTATAACTGTAAGTTAAAATGCAAAATCACCACTGGATTCGGACTAACCAATAATATCATCTACATATGTACATATATGATTTTGAGCAACCAAGGACGCAACAAACATTTTTATATGAAATACTAAATTTATTTATAGATGTACCATAAACTTTAACACTACAAACTACACATAATGATGTTGTAAATTTAAATAAAGATCACTATATTATCAACAATTACATATTCATAATACATGCTTCCGTTATTAAACCTGTTCTGCGGAACTATACTAGTTTAATAAATATGAAAATCTCTGCGGAAAACATACGACCGAATCTCGCCATAGGAAGTAATTACTCTATTAAATCATCTCTAAAAACACCTTATCTCAAAGTGACCTCAGTAGGTTGCGAAAATTGCGGAATCGAAGCCGTACACACACGCTTTAACGACGCGGAAACCGACATTTTAACCTTGTAAAGAATCGATACGAACCATTCTAACTCATATCCTTTATACATGACAAACGCTAATTCTATATTGAATTGGACTATCAAAATCAGTATTTTGAAATTATACTCATCAAGGGCTCAGTAAAATTGACATAGAGTATTGACTATAAACATGCAATGTTGTAGATATAAATAATGTAACATTACATGAACATGTTCCCTTTTTAATATTACATGTTACATTAGCAATTATAGGTAATGCTCGTTTTTATGTTGTCATAATTACAGGTGAAAGCATTTTGAACATGGCGTTCTATTTTTGAAATTGTAAGACTTTGGCTCTTACAATTGTAAAATAAAACTCACACTTACCACGTTTGTATTTAGAGTTATATTTGTGCAAGTGATTTTGATTTATACCTTTCAATATTCGGATTTTGGTCACAAAATCCGAACATTTGATTTTCGAATTGCACGGTAGCTTGAAATGATTTTGATTTGTGCATTTTAATTTTGAACGAACGCTGAGCATCTGATTTTAGAGTCGTACCGTAGTGTGACAATCATTGTGATTTATGCATATCAATTTTGACCGAAGTGTGGTATTCTATTTTGACCGAAGTGTGGTATTCTATTATGACCGAAGTGTGGCATTCTATTTTTAAGTGCATTTGGAAATTGCCGAATGTTGGCATTATTTCGAGATAAATATACAAACGGCACGTGTCTCGTGTGGTGTTTCTGTTTGAGCATTTATTATTGTGTACACGTACCGACAGTAGACCACAAGGGCATCCAGTTCTCTTCCTGGATCTGTAACCGACTGTTACTATCAAGTAAACGTTTCAGTCATGACAATCCATCATCCATTATTGTTTATAACATAAAATCTAGAAATAGATATTACTACTACAGTATTTGATAGTCATACTATAAAATTTAAAATGTGTTAGCACATGTAACCTCTTCTTGCATAAAAGCCATAAAATTATTGTAGTTATAAAGAAATAAAAACTCCTTTTTCTATCTGTCAACAAGTTAACGTTAATTTTAAAAACAAATAAATTTGTTCTTTTTTTTAACAGATAGAAAAGAAGTTTTTTATTTCTATATATTAGGTTGTTCGGAAAGTAATTTCGTTTTTTCCTGACTGAGGACTGAGCACTCAACTTCACACATAAGCCGTATAATTTTTATATGCTTTGAGAGCTCATATAGCAAGGCTTGTGTGTGAAAAATTACAATTAATTCTACGCAGTAGTTTTTGGTTGGTGCCCTTTTAAATGTGGAGAGCCATAAGCAGCATTTTCGATATATCTTACTGTTTTACTACAGAAAGGTCAAAAATGCTGTTCAAGCGAGAAAGAAATTGACCGATGTGTGTGGAGAAGGTGTGTGAACAGTACGCCAGATCCAGAACTGGTTCGCTAAATTTCGATAAATTTTGATGTCGAAGATGCACCACCCTCGGGAAGGCATAAAGGGGATAAATTTGAATAAAATAAGTGTGCTAATTTTAAATGTTCAATCACATATTAAAGTTTTATTAGGAAACAATTTCTAGTACAACTAAAAATTGTTTTATTTTACATCCATTCTATAATTACATAAATAAATAAAATTAGCACACTACTATGATAAAAATACGAATTAGACGCAACTACAATAATATATGCGTGTACACAATGAGATATTACCTTATTACCGTTTATGCATATATAGTTAAAAATACTATAATTGGACGAGGAACTCTTATACTTCCTAGCAATAAATTTTACAATATTTGTCGTGACGTAGTGCGGAAACTATAGATAAACACGAGTGTCAAACTAGTATTGGACATCAGCAATTGACAGTATCGAGTTTGCTTATAATCTATCAATGTCCAGATTAATTGCATTAGAAATCTAGAAATCTAGATGCAAAATCATGATGCATATAATTAAACATTAATTTATTAGTTATTGATGAGAAGGTTAAGATATGTCATTATACTAGCTGTGCTCGCGGTTTTACGCGTAAAATTTATAGTATAGGTATTATTCTGATGTATAAGCTATGTTACTGTAAAGTTTCAACAAAATCAGTTGAGTAGTTTTTGCGTGAAAGAGTAACAAACATTGATGTAACCATGCATAGTCAGAAACTTACGTGTTTA